TGTGTATACTCCTAGTTAAAAAGTGAGAGCTCGAACATAAATGAACACAAGGATACAAGTAAGGCAGTCGTTTGTTAGCAGAGCTTTGCCCTGAAGTTGAACAGTTTACTTCTGTTGGACTGGACCCTCTCCAAACTAGTAAGGGTATTCTGTTTGCCATGATCCTTGCTTCAGAAAAGGATTAGACGTTAGAAAGGTAAGGGTGCTATTAGATACATATTGTGTAGGTGAAAACCTTAGAGAAAAACCCACAGTGCTGCTATAAATTCCCTGAATCGGGTCTGATATATCGTAAATAAGTTTGAATGACACGCTAATCGAAATGAGAACAATGGACTCACAGCAATCTTTCCACTTTGGTTGTCCTCGCACTTGGGAACAGCAGCATACACCAATAAGTAGTATAATTGTTTGCATATCTATTTTTATTGGTAGAGTGGCCCTATCCTGCTTTATATATTCACACTGAGCACATGTCTCCAGCCACCTTCCTCGGATCGAAATGATCACGTTTATGCACTTGTAAATCAAGCTGTTCGATTGAGTTTGGTGTATCTATTCTTTGGTTGAGGTGCACCGTAGGCGGGTGTAAAGTGTGTTTCCGAAAATCAGTGTATCATTTTCTGCCTCCGAATTCGATAACTTTATCGGGTCCAGTCTAAAACAAACAAAAGAGAGCAGTTGAGCGTAATGGTTAGGACTAGTGAAATTTCACAGTCACTTTCAGCCCCTGGTTTGAAAAAAAATTACATCGATACTCACCTAGTGCAGCGTGGCGTGTGAAGATGCATGGTTTGAGCCGCATATTTCGGAAGACTACAGACTAATTTGACTTCATCGTGGTAATGATGAGTATTCTGGCAGGCCATGATCTCTTTATGTGCAGGGATCGAGAAACGTGGATACACTGTTGTTTATTCCCTATATCCTGTGTTCATACGGGGATTTCGTATGCCAGTGGATAGCGGTGGAAAACCGAACGCTCAGAATCACTTAGGACATCTCGTACTATCGACGCTTTCCGATAAATTGCGTTCTGTAAACGATAGTCTAAACCAAGTCGGCAGTCTTCAAAAGGCAGTCCAGTGTGAAGGAAAGAGTTAAAATTTGTGTTCGTTTTCGCCCCGTATCGTTCGAAGAAAAATGACAACTTAAGTATGTTTGCACTTCAAGCTCGGCTTTTAATAGTTAGTGTTGGACTAGTATGAAGAATAAACACATGTTTATAGACATTTGGTTCAGAAATATAACCGGAAAGTCATAAAACACAAGGCCTCAATTTGGGGTCGAAATTTCACATAAAATTAATGAAACAGAGAAATTCCAGCCAAGCACAAAAGGTGTCCTGTCTCCATCAAGTAGCTGGATAAAGACTTTGAAATCTTACTGGACAACTAACACTATTTTTCAGATATCTTCACCGATATGGCTGGGATATGTAAACGACATCTATAGGAAATTGCAGAATAACTAAATGACTAGTCCTAAATGACTAGTCCTGCTAAAGGTTTTACGTAGTACTCCAGTGGAATTCTTCTGAGGGAACTTATTACCAGAACTTGCTTACAAACCCCAAAAGCAAGTGGAAGAATCCTCTGTCTTGGTAGGTTTACTAAGTGGTCTTAAACGTCGGCATAGTATATGTTCATTGTTGCGTTAGTCTGCAACTGACCGATCCCCTTTCGACCTGTAAAGGTCACTCAACCTTAGCCGACAACTTGTAGAGTACAAATTCTCATCCCGTTTTGTTTACTTGCGTAACGCACCAGGCTTATGAACTTCAAAACATCAGGTCAAATTGTATACCCGTTCGTGCAAGGATCAAACATGAAGGGACACACTGCACACAATAAATAGGCATACAACTAGGCTCAACAAAAACACTCGCGCGCACAGGACAGGAAGTCAACAGAGCTCCGCGAGTCTCCACGGACAACTACGGAACACGTGTAGCAGCTATGCTGCGTCCGGAACTTCACTCAGGAACCCTCAACAAGTGTCCTCAAACGATAAGTCACTTTTTGGCTTATTCCACTTTTCGGATTGTGTCTATTTCTATCAAGTGTACCTAATTATTGTATTCATCACATTCTAGTAAGACAGACTTTTGCTGGTGCTTGTTACTTACTGATAATCAACTTAATTACGTCACAACTTGAGCACTAACAGACCTTTGTGTATAATCCGGCCCGGATGAGGTGAACTATGGTTTCCATGTTTCTCGGTCCACAATGTCAGAAATGCCATAAAACCTAAATTTAGCCAACAGGCGGCTATTTATTGCTTTGTATCCGAGCAAACCGGGGTGTCCCGGTCTCAATACGTGGGGTCTCGTCCGGATAAATAAAATTATCTGGGGCTTGGTTAGACCTTTTGTCTAGAAAATGAGGCTCATTTGTTAGTCAAAACGAGACTAGCTGGATACATGATGTTTCTCCATTTGTACGTCACTTCCCAAGACACGACGTGGCACGTATTCCATCTGCTGTGCATCACAAGCGGTGACCAGTCACCGGTCGCAAATAAAATGGGAGTGAAAATACGGACTTGGTAGTTTTGGTGATTGTGTACTGTCCAGAATAACAAAGTAACTGCGTATCGAGCTTCCATGGAGTTATTTTTGTTTCAAAGTATTGTAACACACTCATCCCTGATACGTTACAACCCCCAGGTTGATGTGCATCACAAGCGGTGACCAGTCACCGGTCGCAAATAAAATGGGAGTGAAAATACGGACTTGGTAGTTTTGGTGATTGACTGAATCACCTGGCAGTAACCTCCTACAGGTTTTGGGGAGCTAAACGGGATTTTGCGAAAGTGTTGCTCGCTAGGTAAGTTTCTGACAAACTTGAGACGGGATCGGTCGCATAATAGTGACGTTTTGACTTCCATTTTCATTTGAATGTTTAGTTTTTCGAAGTCTTTTTAATGAGCTGTGATGTGTTTATTCCCTTGATTCAAACAGCCACTGGTTGTCTGTACAGTGAAAATTAACGGTCATGCAGCATACAGCTTGTTTCGATTTCAGATGGAGTTCAACCTGTTCGTCCAAATCCGGGCATAGCTTTGTTTACGCGTTTGCCGTTATTTCGAACAGTTAGGCCTCTTGGAGAGATTTCAGACGAATGCCTAACTTCCACTAGTTGGCTAATGGAACTACGATTGAAAGGAAGAAGGCCTTCGATGCAGAGGCAAAGTGGAACAGTTACAGACTATTGAACAGGTCATCAAAATTCTCATATGCGTCTTGTTTACAAAACTGAATATCTATCTTCTTCTTGAACGCGGTTTCCTGAACTTTCTTGGATATTCATTGACTGTTTCTCAAATGCAAGCAAATGCCACAAAGCGATTCCACAAATTTCGTAAAAGATCTCACTTTTCAAGAGACGTGAAACGTATTTACGAGAAGACACTACTGACATGCCTCATCAATCGTATCCACCGTTTCACAGTGAGCACCATTCCATCTTATTTGCATCTACAAAGCATGAAGACTTCCTCGGTTACCGGATCAATCTCTGGCGACCAAAACAATCGATGACGTGCGTTCGGGCAAAATAACTTCCACCAATCTTCCTCATCTTTGTGATTGTGATCTCTTGTAAATTGCGCAGTCAGTTGATAATTTGTGTGGGCGTCCATTGAGGTTAATAAAAAAACCAGACAGCCGAAACTGGATCTCATAAGCTAAGTTGACATTCGAGTAAGCACGTGAAGCAATTGATAGATGAGACAGCGCACACTCTGTGGTGCGGGTACTTCCTCCACCAGCGGTGGGACAAGAGCAGATACTCAGGTGGTTTCAGTCGTTTATGCTGAATCAGATTACTCGAGTTCCCATCACTGCTAGTTGTAAATCGCACCACCGTATGTGCCTGCACTTGGTCTAACCGACTCATTTTAATGAAAAAAGGCACACCACTTACTAAGGTTTGGATTGTTCCTTAGTATTTATATCAAGCGTTTGGTAATCACGCAGTTGGTTAACGCTGACCTTTTGAGTCCTCATTCTTAGAAGATCGTTTACAAGGTTCACTATATCTGGCAGTGAAAAACAATCTCATGACGAGTGAACTTTTTTTTAAAAAGGACTATTTTTTACAGAAACTACGATTTCGCTCAAACCCAGGTTAAGGAAATGGATTTCACTATTCAGGACAGACATCTTTATACGGTGAACACTTGCTGCGGACAGTTTCACGTCATGTGACAGGGCAATGTGGTTACTGATTTTATTACGAAAATCCAGACGCCCCTGTTTAGATATCAGTTCTGTTTATAGCTGATAAATTGGCTGACTGACTGTTGAAAGACTTTGTCTCTTAACCTTATGCAGTGCCGATGAGCCGCACTAAGATGTAGGTTCCATATATGCGGTTTCCACGACCTGGCTGAGTGTATCGTGAGTGGGTGGCCATCTATTCATGACATCTGCACTGAGCCTGCCAGGCTACGCGGTAAAGAGAAGACAGAAAACACTGGGCACGGCTGTATCGTCAGGACAAAGCATACAGAACTTCTATGTAAATATATGGGATGACTACATGGTCAAATATGGTCGTTTGCTTGTTCGCTCTATACAGCCAATGGCAGTGTTCCGTTGGTGAACACTTTCAGCCGCACTCCACTGGCCGTATGTTGCTAAGCCGTGTTTGGTGAGCTCCGACAACGCACCTGCTATCCGGAACGTGCAGCACCGATGATGACCTTGGGGATGAGCCATCTCTGCACATGGCATTAGGACTGTTGTAACGTGAGAAATTTCAAAACTATTTTGCAACTCCCGGCTACTAACAAGTAGCCGGTTTACACGACATTTTGGCGTCAGCTGGTCTGTAAATTCCAAAATGCAAAAATATTCCTGACAAAAGCTCTGAAGCACACATCATAGGGTCCAGTTCTCCAGAATACTATTTGCATGTCACTAAATCAGTCTGCACCCAATTTTATTCTAGAGCAAACTGTTAACCTTCATCGCTAGGCGTTTTACGCGATGTGTAGAATAAAAGGGCGTCAACCAGTTTACGGATAGTCTGATTATTCGGATTCCAGATTTGGTTCTTAAGATCAGATCATTCCTTCAACACAAGTTCGTACCGATGTTCACAAGTGGTCAAATGTGGGTATATTTTCGTGCACATGAGCAGCTTAAGTGTTAATCAAAGCGGCCGGGCAACCAACTTTGATCCGTTTTCCCATACTGAATGCATGAATCATAGCTGCTCGGATCTGGTGTGGCTTCAACAAGGTGGGCAGTAGAATTGGGATTTCCGTGGTTTTAATGTTATTAATTCAGCCCTGTTGCACATGGAGGTTTATCCAAAACAGCGACCTATTGGATCCGTGCATGAAAAAAAATCGTTGAATTCTTGGACACTGAGTTTCAGACGTACATCAGTGGATGTTTAGACACGTCAAAAAGGGATGGATTCGCTATACTCTGTCTGGTCGAACTGTAGTCCCATATAAGCGAGACTGATTAAGAGAATGCATTTATATTCAAAATGTCAATGAAGTGTGAAAATAGGTTCTGAGGACAGCGGGACTAGAACTAGTGATCCGGGATGAACCGATGACCAATCAGTGTGCCCGTTTCCCCAGTGTCCAGAGCTATTCGTTTCGTCAACAGCCGTATCCCATAAGGCATGTTGGCACCTTCTCCGTCGGTTAAATATTGTTCCCAGTCCGGAACATCCCAGATATCTTGATAGAGTAGAAATTGCTCGATCGCTTGGGGTTGCCGTAAACTCCGTACCAGTTGTACATAGTTCAACTGTACATTTCTTTCAACTGTGAAAGAGTGCGAATTGCATGAAAAAATATGCATTAGACACATGCAATAAGTTGGGATATTACAAACACTTCAAAAGGTTTTAACAAGGATTTGAGTGAATCGATATCAAAGGTTGTACTCAACAATGTGACCACAAGCAACCAAGTGTGTCCTAAGGACAGTTCACTGCTGGTATTTCACTCACCTCGATTTTCCTGCTGGGTAGCCTTGAAATCAACGTGAGTGAGCTAAACGTTCAGGAACTCCAGACCAGGCAGTTTAACTCTATTGGTTTTTACGGTGCTTCCGAGAGTGGGCAACCAGTATCACTGCGCACCTTCGCACCAGTACCAAACAGTAAACGGGAGAGTTTCGCGGGGCTCACGCGTGGCGACTGTGGCAACTGCTGCAAATCGAAAGCTGGTTTGGTATCCCACCGTCAAATTCACGTCCATGAAAGCGCTGAAGAGGACGTAGTCGCTCAAGTAGCCGGCGTTGATCGTCTTAGCCGATTGCCGGCAAATTTGGCTGAGTCAGCATTGCCACAGCGGCCACTTCACATAGTACAGAGTAGATAAGCTTTGCCGAGTGAAAGTCTTTGGTGGTTGCAGGTCAAATAAAGTTCACAGTTTTCATAATGGAAACTACTCACAAGGTTGCTGAAAACTCTTCGACAGCCCACGACCGGTTTCGACCTTCTTGGGGCTCATCAGGTAGGCGCAGTCCCCGAGTTTCCATCAACTTTATGTTCTACCTGAACCCAAATTGCACTGTTTCCGAGAAATACACTCATTTGCAAACTAGTTTGGTTTTCACAGTTATTCATGTGTCTTTGGTGCACAAAGCGCGCCGTTCGCTAGCCTGGAGCAATATTTTGCTGGTCGACTGGCTATCAATATGAAAACCAGGTTGCGTGTGTTTCTGTGGCACTTTTCGCCCAGTGGCTCGAATGAAACAAACCGTGGGCTGCGCGGTGTCGCTCTTGGAACCCAACTCTGATGATTCACTGGTATTGAACTTTTGAGCTTTTTCCGATGGCGCTGGTACCTGTCTCTCTACACCGCCACCCGCAAGCTCGTCGTCTGCTGGCAACCGAGAACAGACTGGTTGAGCTAACTATACCACAATTCGGACTTTACAATACGGGATAGTGGAAGATGCACTGTATGTTGTTCCTAATGGCCTGCGAATGGAAGTGTACAAAGGAAATTGCAGCCCAACTTCAGAACACCGAACAGTATTGCATACAGGTGCACTCTCCCCAATATTGTTCATCGAGGCGATGGATGAGATTCCTTAATTGTTAGTGCGACACCTGGACTATCAGCTACGTGACACCTTACTGGATGGTTGCGCCTTCGCTAACGGTTGAGTGGTGTGAGCAGAAAGTCAGCTCACTCTGTGTAGAAGCATGCAGTTGAGGTGGGAGAGGCTGATATAAGATTCAGTGCTTGAAGGATGAAAGCAGTGGTGATCTGTGGGGATCGAAAACATCGGACGGACGAACCGAACCACTGTTTCTCATTGAGGAACTAGTCACTCATCTCATAAAGAACATGGCTTATTTAGACGTCTTATTTACTTTCAACTGGGAAGGCGTATGTAACAATCAAAAGCAGCTGGCAAAATTGCTTACTGAGCTGACGCATATCCCGCTGAAGCCTCGCCAACAAATGACGACCATGAAGAACTACCTATAACCGGGCCTGAAACATTCGCGCGTGCTTGGCTATTCCAGCCGTAGTACATTCAAAAGGTTAGTTAATTATATCAGGCAGTCTGTTCTTGGCTGGCTGCGTTCAACGAAGGGCGCCAAATCAGCTAAATTCAATCTACATAATACAAGTCTGAGTTTACCCCTCTCGATGCAGTGAAAAGTGAGTGAGTTACGCCGCCTTATGCAGTGCCAAGTACTGCGCAATGTGGTTGATGATCCTGTCTTTGGCAAGTTTGTTAGGGTTCTCAGCCTTCCGATACTAAACTCCAAGGGACAAACGGTGGCTGCTTGGAGCGAGTCTTTTCAGCAGCTTTTGTAGTCGTCACATGAGAGAGCGGCTAGATTCACCCCTTTTAAACCGATGGCAAATGTTCTCAGTAGGCGGCTCTCACCGGGATGTTGTAAGTGGTATTCTGCTGAGGAAAAGGGTCGGAAATGTCACGATGACCTGACGATCCCGGAAGGTGCTTTCAGCCGGATGTTTGATGAGCATTCTGTAGCTTTGTTTACCGCCTCATTGGAAGCATCCAGCAATCGTGATAGACGTGAGGTGTTCCAGGTGGGCGAGAAATGCTCGGTGTGAAATAAGAAGACAAAAAAATTGGTGCTGACAAGTGTCCCATAGCTGTCATCTCAGGCCTACCTGCTACCGCCAAGAGTGTCGTTGGACTGGGGTTCTTTAAGACGACAGCCGGTGACTTGTAGTTACTCACTATTCTGGAATCAGTGTTGAACACTGATGTCATGCATGATGATGATGATTGAGCATTTTTCGTACCTCCATCAGTTACCAATCTTTACACCTGAGTTTCCAAGTCAAACACTTCTATATGCTTTGGGGATCATGTGAGCTGACTGAAAACTAATGATGTCATACCGACTTGAAGGGTTGCCCTCTCTTATGATCTCCCGTATCTGTAGCTCGCAAGTTAAATTCTATGATCACGCCCTGAGAAAACAGACAATAGTAAAAGCAGTGTCTGACGTCACCGGTGTTTTTGTGTAAACGAACAACTAGCGGTGTTCACTGATACATCACCATACTTGGGCCGGCTGACACCATCCGACAGAGTGCCAACTCCATTATCTTGGGTTTACGCTGTACAACCCTATTTGGTCTCTTCTAGGCTTTTGGTGGCCTACCTAGTACAGAAAGACGTTCATCTAATCAGGAAATGCTCACCGGTTGCAAACCACGGTTACCAGACCACTAGGGCCATATCCAAGAAATCTATTCGCTACTTAGTAGTCTGCTTTAGGTAGACAAGCCGCATACACTGGAGCAAATTCTGTGCGGAAGATCCGCCAGGTTCACAGTTGTATTTTCGGTAACCTTTTTACCATTTTAAGGCTAAAATGATGAATCCTCAAGATAGGACACCTTTAAATAGTCGGAATTTAACGCCTCCCTGTCTAACTTAAACTGAAACGAACCTGGGACACCAAAGAACAGAGAAAGATGACAGTTTAAGATGATCTCGGATGACTGCTTCTTCTGTGTTCCAAATTTAAATGTCACGGGGAATTTCAGCAATTCAGATGCTTAAATAATATTTGCGGCAACGAGTAGCTATGTGCACATCAGTTGGTACGTTTTTTTTTACAAATTTCGCCTGCGAAAATGCCCCCGTTAGAGTGTCAATCCAACACGGAGTGTGGTTTTGCATGAATAAGCCCTTCAGGCTAATCACGGCAGGGTGCAGCCATAGACCATCATGTTCTATGGAGTGTTTAGAAGATCCCACAAATCTGGTCCAGAAAACTGGCTAGCGATGGAATAGCTCGGGGAATTGGTGTATTAAACTCACTTGCAAATGACTTTAGCTTTAATGGTTTGACAAAATAAATCTCCGAATTATAATATTTTTGAAGTGAATAACCGCCACTTGTTTCTGCCGATATTATACACAAGGTATCATAGTGTAGTTTTTTTTGAGAGATGCTGCTTATAAGTGTGCCGAAAGCATCTTGACAACCCAGCCCACTATGGATCTGCGTGTTCGATTTTCAAAGACCCTACCCATGGAAAACGGTATCGCTGTCTTGAAAGTGGTGAACAGTTCTCTTGTAACATGTTGGTCTTCCTTTTGAGGGACCATACTCTACTTAACGATTCGAGGAGAACGCTGCTATAGACCTTTCAGGTTACTTGTATCTCTAGGAGGATTACTGTGTACTGTGTCTACCCTCTGGTTGCATTTCAAGCCTCATAACATATGCGGCAACGGAACGTACTGCATCGGTTAATGAGAAGCCTCCTGACCACACTGCGACAATTCCGCATCAGAGAGGGTGGACTCATAGACAAGGATTTGGACGACGTCTCCAAAGATGTAAGGGTATGAGTAACCCATCGGTTACGCAGAATGACAAACCTTTCTTGATCTGGTAAATGCAGCTGTCTTGTTATGACTGATATCCGGTACAGACAGTGGGGATACTCTTCGCACGAAGAATGCTCGATGACTTCTTCCTTTAAATCAGGTTCGTTTGACGGGACGGGCCAGAATAAACGCTGCTTGTTATCGGATTCTTCCCCTGTCCAAAACTCGAAGGCAAACAAGGAAGGATTGGCAATGTAGAGCTCAAACACAAGCGCGACTAACGGTCCGATCATTTGAGTTCTGAACATGTAGTGACCTGTGGCGTCATGTTCCGACCCTGATATTCCAACGTGACGAACTCCAATAACCTAGAAAATTAGCAAATCAAGGAATTTCTAAACATCACTTTTAACTGAAACAATCAAGAAAGCTCACTGCAATTTTTACCCAGTCAAATCTGCAAGTTTCTTCAGAGTAGGTGAATAAAACTTTGTTTTGTATCATACGGCGTTACAATCGCCTGCGGTATTCCACGAGAGATTGTACGTTTCACTAGATTTGTTTTCATAACTGTCAATGTGCTAATTCCCCCTCAGCCTATGTAAGACCGGAGCAAGAACAGACGTGAAATAAACATGACGTGGTGTTAACAAGACAACCCGACAACCGTAAGTGTCAAGCGATGAGTTGCGGGGCAACCAGAGGAGATGAAACTAACTGCACACACATACGAAGTGGGGTTGTATAGTTTCGTTTCGTTTCCCACTGCTGACTAATTTGTGCTACAGGCCTTATTCGGATTGCCGTACAAAGCGTTCTGAGCCTGTTCACAAACACTCCCATGATCACCCATCACTGGCATTTACACACAAGCACGCATACGCGCATTCACCAGCACACCCAGTTTGGTAATTCGCTAAGTTCAGTTAACGCTCATGCCGGGTTCGAACCGCGTGGTTGATCGGTGCAGTTTCGAGCACTCCAATTGTTGTGGAGTTGTAGCTAAAGATTGAGTGGAATAAAACCTGTCATGACAAATTTTTCCTTAAGGAAGCCGAATTGTGGAAATCAGCGTATACTAACCGGGCATTCATTGGCAACCTCATCCAAGCATCCGCCGACAACAAAATTAAGCATCATTCATTTTTTGTGGTTCGTGAAGCGTAATATTGGACTTCGATGGGCTAAAGATTGTACCATCTGCAATTGAAAGGTATACTGATAACTCAGGTTGTAGTTACTGATTTTTTGTGTGAGCTAGGCAGTTTCGTTACGTCACCAGAACATGCGTTTTAAGTGTGCAAGTCCAAACGCTTTTGCGCCCGTCCATACACTGAATTCCTCCTACACATTCATCAGCGCGATCAGGCTGGCCTTTTCACACTGACACTAACTGTTCACGCTTGAACCCTTTCGGCAATATGTCAGAGTGTTGTGTTGACCATACACAGCCGGACGATGACACAATGTAAACCTGCTGTGACCGGCTGTAACCCGGTGAATGAGAAAAGGATCGAAATTCCAGACCCAACGCTTTTCCCACAATTATATTGAAAGCTCTTCGACAGTCCACGACCGGTCTTGCCCTGGATGAGGCTTACCAGGCGGGCGAAGTCTCCCAGTTTTCATCAAGCTTGTTTTACTTTCGCTCGAACTGGACATATTTGAACTAACGCTCTTATATGCACATGGATTTGGTCGACGAGCTTCAAGGAACCTCATGAGTAGTGGGTTAAGTCTGGGCAATAACGCACTGCGATAGTTCAAATATTGTACCGCGAGGCGGTCTGGTGTAGCATAATGGAAAGGTTAGCTAAGCTAATGTTTACTTTCTCCTCCCCAGAAAGTCCTAATTGGAGTTACTGAGTTATCCCCAAGCTTGTAGATTCATTGTCGCTTCTGGATTAGACCGGTTGGCAAAACTGTCGTTTTATTGTTGGAATGAACTAGCCGTCCCGTCATTGACTTTGCAGGATGATAACCGAAATTCAGGTCCAAAAGCTTCACTATTTACCAGATGCTGGGTTTTGGATCGTATGATAAAGAGCAGTCAAACCAAATCCTGACTCCTGTGGCGCAATCTGATTCGTTCACACTTCGT